AACACAGATAATAATTTTAAAAGAACAAATGAAAAAATAAAAACAGCTCAGTGATGACTGTCTCTATTCCTGCAGTATAGATTTGAGGTCTGTTTCTGTTTCAATGCACAATAACTTTTATCACAGAACCAGTGTCACCAGCTTCAACTGAAGGAGACGTGTAATTATAATTATATAATAAGTATAAAACACAATAAAGCACTTTATGGGATAATAATGCAAAACGTTCTTAAAGGAAACATCTACATTTCACTTGGTGACGAGTTATAAAACAAATATTTTATGGTCTCCTGTCCACAAATTAGCCAAATGTAAGAATTTTGTTTAAAATACTGTGTTTAAACATAATCAATTTCATTGTCATTAATTGCAAGAGGAATTGAAAGTAATGTATTTACTTCTAATTTTCCATATATTTAGCTTTAAAGTAGCTAATACCTTAAAGTATTAGCTACTGATAGCTACAATTGAAATTTAGTGGGGGTTTTAATGCACAAAACCTAAAAAGGAAATTTTTAGGTAGTTGCCCAAATTTACATAGCAGGAGGTTACAAGACACACTTGTCTAAAGATGATTTTGTAGTTTTATGTTTATGTATGCAGGAAGTAATGTTCAATGCTCTAAAACAGGGGTCCCCAATCCCAGTCCACGAGGGCCGGTGTCCCTGCAGGTTTTAGATGTGTCCTTGATCCATCACAGCTAAGTTTAAATAGATAAATAACTGTCTTGAAGTTCACCAGAGGCCTGGTAATGAACTAATCATGTGATTCAGGTGTGTTGACCCAGGGTGAGACCTAAAACCTGCAGGGACACCGGCCCTCATGGACTGGGATTGGGGACCCCTGTTTTAAAATATGAAGAAATACGTGACTCCAGAGACAGTGAGTTGGAACTGTTGAGCTTTATTAGTAGCGCTTAGTATGAGGAACAGAAATTACAGTGAAGACAGAAAATATTTAGTCCATTAACAGAACAGAGTAGATAAAACAAAGTGGAATAAAGAGATCGGCAATGAGAGAGGGAGATTCACATGTTGTCAGTGTCCGTGTCACTTTTGGCCAAGTTGGGAGAGCTGTGAAAATGAAGACCACAACAGGTTTTTAAATAGACACAATGAAACGTCTATGGGCTTATTGGCTTATCCCCTCACTGGTGCTGCGTGGTTCCTCACCTGTTTGATGAACTGAGACGCATTGAAGAGCTCACTGCAGCCATAAACAATCTTCTTCCCCTGCTTAGACTGGAAATACAGAAAAATAAAATGAAGTTTCCTACTGAACCTATTATTGCAGGGAGAAAGTAACACTTCCACACAAATACTGTTGTTTTTACCAATCTACATGTATTTAACACCTTTGGTGTTAGCTGGTTGTTCGGTGGTAATGTTGCCTCACAACAATAGAGGTTTTTGGGTTCAAAGCACAGTAGGGCCCCTCTGTTTGGAATAGGCATATTCACCCTGTGCTTGCGTGGTTTTTCCGTGGG